ATACTTGGCGTCAAGAATCGATGCAGTAGATCACGAAAATTAGAATCACGATGCATCATCATGACGATTATTTTGCACACCCCCTATTCTTCAGTTTTGTACTTGTGAAGAACAAAGAAGTGCATTAGATCGATTCTCTCATCTTGTAATTTTTTTTGTGTTTGTTAAATGTCTAGATTTTTAGTATACTGATGAAGATTCTCATAGTCATTCCGTAAAAGTTAAAAAAATATCCACTGGACTTGGTTTCAAGATTTGAAGACGTTTCGCCACCTCTCCAGGAAAATTTCTCAAACTCAGTTTGAGTCTTATATAGACAAGGCCTTGTATCGCTTGGAAACATGCAAATGTAACCGATGAATGGGTCGTTTGGTTCCATTGTTAGCCTGTAATACCTGAAACCTGTCTATGATTCTGAGGGTCGGTTAAAGGGGGGGATTGCCGTTAAGGGCGGGGGTTGTCTCCTGTAATACCTGAAACCTGTCTATTGATTGTTAAGGGTCGGTCATTAAGGAGGTATTGGTCAACGGCTGGAGCGGGTAGATTTTTAACATCTCACTGGTTCTTGCAGTTTAACCCCAACACTGTATATAATTGTTGCATTTATTGTCCGAGTCTACCAATTTATAATTTGTGTAGTAAAACTGATTTATATTCATAATGAGCCAATGTAGCATGCTAGAACCATTTCAGTCTATGACATCACTAATCCTGCATCCTTTTGGCCAGAATGTCACAGATCAAATTTACTGAAGTAGACCTCTACTGGTATCAGACCTCTGGGGATCTTATTGTTAAATGTTATTTTTATTTTTATTTAACAAAAGGAGTGTTAACAAAAAAAAAAAAAAACACTGATGTAAAATCAGCTCCTTCAGCTGTACTTCAAAGCCCTTTCAAGATGGTTTCTTTCATGTTTGTTTCCCCCAAACGCTGAGAAACCCCCCAAAAAAGTCGGACCTGGAACCAATTACTGAAGTTAAGAATCCCAGACCCCCCCGCCTCTGAAAATAAATCATGGAGGAGGACAGTTTGTTTATCAACTCCACAAGTTGGGTAAATCTTAACAGATGTCAGCTTACACCATCTTTCTCATGTGCGTGTTCATGAAGCCACCCCCTACAGTTCAGTTCACGTTTTAGTTTAACTTTACCTTAAAATGCTGCATCATAATCCTCACTTTTATTCTAAGCACATAGCACCATAAAAAAGATCTACATTTATAGAGAGTAAACCATTAAACAACCACAAATAACGTCTTCTAAAGACCTGCAGGTGTGTGTGGCATTACTCCACACACATTGAAAACACATGACATCACCAAGCAACTATTTCCTTTGATTGACTCCGCTGAACATCATTCTTGTCAGTACCAAAGTGTCCAGGCTGAAAGTGTGTTTATGAGAACCAGATGAGTTGCTTTTGGCCCTCGCTGCCGTGTTATGCTACTGTGAGCGCCGTTAATGACTGCAAACGCGGCTCCACGATGCATCACTTCCTCTTTCTTCAAAATACGATCTTTGAGACAAGCAGCCTCACTCTCTGTGTGTTCAAAGCAAATCCCCCTACAGCTTCAAAATGTGGTAAATACTATTTAACTCGACATCCTGCTTATGTAGTTTAAATGCCTACGACATCCTTGTTAGCTTTGCTGTGTCCACGCAAATACATTTGATTAGACCAGGGGTCTTCAAGGTTTCCCAGGCTAAGGACCCCAAACTGATGGCAAGATGGAGCGAAAAAAGACGTGAAAAAAATTCACCTACTGCAGGTGAGGCGTTTACAGTATGTTTAGGAAACCTACTGTGCAACAAGAAGAATTTCATCTTCTTGCACTCAAAACTTATAATGCTCACACTCAAAACATGCGCTCTCTCTCAAATATTTTCTTCTTGCACTCAAAACTTATAATGCTCACACTCAAAACATGCGCTCTCTCTCAAATATTTTCTCTTCTCTCTTAAATCTTTGTTTCTTCTCTCAGATTTAATGCTTCTTGCACAGATATTTTCTCCTCTCGCTTGCCTCCTTTTCTTCGAGCACAAACCGCGCTATGCTCGAGTCTCAGATACGCTCGCAAACCCGTAGGCTCTGCTTCCGGATTTTTTTGCTCTCTCTCAGATTGGATCGGATCGTCGCCTAGCAACCTTTCCAGCCAATAGAACGACAGCCTCAGAAAGGGGGCGCTTGTCTAACTCTACTGAGTTACCTTACCGACAATAAAT